ATGTTTAGTCAGCTCAGAAAAACTGCCCTGCTAATGAAGATTTCAAGGCCATAGCAGTGGGAAGCAAATGCAACAGACAGGGAAAGAACAGAGCAGAGTCATAGCTGCCATCTACATCTTGGCTTTCTTTAGTCAGTCTTTAAGCTCTTTTGAATCAAAAGTGAACATCAGCACTGGTTCAGCCCAGAGAGATAAAGCAAGTTCCTGAGAGACACAGACAAACTGTGAGCAGATCTAAGAACAGAATTCAAAGTTACAAAGTCCCATTCCAGTACTTCATCTATGCAACCTAAACAACTCATCAGTCTTCAGGTCCCAACAACACAGATTACATTAGGAGGCAAAAATCTACCTTGTTTATTTACAATGCATGTAAGCAAAGTTATCTTTTCCTGACCTGAACAGAAACACAGAATGGGAAGTTCCTTTGCTCACATTTCCCAGTCTCATGTTCACTCTAGCTCTGTGCTCTAAGCAAAACTCTCTCGCTCTGCACTTGCCTGGACATACTGTGTCTGTGTAAGGCTCTTCCCACAGAGAAATTCTGATGCCACCAACCAATTAACAGCTCCTGTTATGAAGCTCTTCAAAGACTAGGGATGCAGAGGAGAAAGGAACAGCGAAGTTGAGAAATGCAAATTAATGTCTCCACTGAAGACCAAAAAAACCCAAAACAAAACACCCAAACCTGCTCAGCAATTGTCTGCTCTGTTCAGCCTGACATCAGGCCAGGCAGCAAACACACACTACCATGCCAAGCAATATATGCACAGCATGGAACGAGTTGGTGTTTTCTAATACACACTGAGCCTGTCTCTGCAACAGAAAATGAAATGACCTCTGGTATTCATGGCATAGCAGATGACACACCCTGGGCAGAGGTGTACCAGAAACCCTTTCCACCCCCAGCACACCACATCCATCCTTTGTTTGCTTCACACCTTTCTGAAGATGCTGTTCTTTCCCCGTCTGCTGCAGTTGTTGCATTTGCTTCCCGCTCTTATGGCCTGAAACCTTCATTACAACAGTGGATTTCCTCATCTGTTCTAAACAACCAAACTTAACATCTGTCATCTTGACTGGTGAGCTCTTGCAGTAGTATTTATGTCAGAGGAGAGTGAGCAAGATTTATGTGAATAACTACTGCTCACATATAATGAAAATATTAAAATAAGGAATACTGAATTCTTCTAAAGCAGCTTCCTTGCTTTTTTCTTCTTTGTAAACTTCAGCCTAAGCTTTTGTTAAATAACTTTTCCTCATCATACCTCAGCATGCCCACAGCTCTCACCTAGCAGCAGGAAAACACACCGCCCCCAGTGCCCAAAAGGCCAGGCTCAGATTAAGCCTCTTGTTGGGCCCAGCCTCACTCAGTAGGACCCAGATTTACCCTGCAGAGAGGTCTAGGAGAGCAGACAACAGACAGAAGGATAAGGTCACTGTGAAAGTAGCAAAACCACTCACACAGGGTACACCACACCACTGCGATGCAAAGTCTGCAGCAAAGAGAGGGGACCTGCTAGTAATGGAGCAGCCCCGTATGTTTGAGAAGGCTTGATATCAAATTAACTAACCATGGTAACAAGAACACAGGTTTATTCCAAATGGAGTACAATGCCAGACCTACACAGCAAAGACGTAGCATTAGATCCATCACTGAGCTCCTCCGTGGCTGAAGTGAGATGGCAACACTTACTACCACACTGGTCGGAGGGGTCATCAGGGAGAGAAATGTCACAGAAAATGGAGACTTTGACACCAGCGTGCAGGCTGGGCAGACACCACACCGTGCCACAATGCACAGACCCAGTCTTTAGAAATGTCGCTGACCACTTCAAGGAGCGACCACTTCGGGACCTCAGAGCAAAGGTGCTGCTCATCCCCTATGGTGGCCTCAAGCAGTCACCATGCAGAAGTGTATTTATTTTTATGATAATGTGTTCGGTTTCTGATTGCTCTAGGGCACAGTCACCTATGAGTTCCACAAAACATTAAGCTAGAAAACAACAGGGTTACAGAGCATAAATTATTAAACAGTGACATGTTCACCAAGCTTGACCACTCAGATCTAAGAAAAAGTTTAAAAAAAAAAATTTACTAAAAGTGGACTGGAGGGACAAGAGCATTTTGTGATTTTAAACCTGTCAGTAGAGAAGCTCACTAAAATTTGAGTATTTCACACTAGGCTTTTTTTCTTCTTTTTTAAGTTTCATCAGTCACCATTATTATTAGGTAGTTTCAAGGTTCAACTCATCTTAATTCTGGTAATTTTTAAGTGTATAAATCATATCCTCAGTGGCATGTGTGCATCAACAGCTTTCAGTGGTCTTTCACTGTTGCAAAACTTGCAAACTTAGTAAATGGTTCTGTGCACAAACAAGAAACAGAATAGTGCTTGCTTCCTTTTAACTAGATGGGGCTGACTGGATGAAAAAACATATGCAGAAATGAAGTTCTGATGCTGAAAAATTGGGTGAAAAAATGACTGCTCAACAGCATAACTCAGTAACACTGCGGGTTTTGGCAAACATAAGAGTTATCCTGGAATGGTCAGAATTGGCTGATATAACCATAAAAGGTATTTCATCTCAAATTGCTTCTCTCGGGTTTTTTGTCTATTTAACCATTCGAGTGTAAGATTCATAGAACCATGCTGCTGAAGATGATGCTCCTTAATCTCTTCTGTTTCCACTTCTCTACCCAAAAAACTAAAGAAACAGAAGGAAAAAAAAGGCACACAGGCACATCCCTTGCCCTCTGAGGGCTTCTCCACTTCCACACTTTCCAGAAAGCATCTGCATGTGCAGCCCACTAAAGCAGATGATCTGCACAATACTACACAGTCGAGCACGGCTGCTCAGAAATGTAAAGCAAGTGAATGCTGCAGTGTCACTGCTTCTCTGCAGTCCCCGACACTGCCCTGTATTTCATGTTTGGATCTGAAACCATTAAAGTCCACTAAAGAAAAAAAAAAAAAAAAGAAAAAGAAAAATGCTCATCTACATGCTTCATGTTTTTCAAGACTGAATGACGCAAGACTGTATGTAACATTTTCTTCTATTAACCCACCAAAAAAATAAAAATCAAACTCATTAGAAAACTAACAGAGTGGCCATACCTGTAACTCTCAGAGAGTTGCTTGAAGTTTAGGGGAATTCACAGAAGTTCTTAAGAAGCCCATGGATAGCATTAAACCTTTATATTTCATGATCATAACGTACACTGAGTCCAATCAATAACCTTGATTTTGCTGAAAAATTTTGAGCTGGAAACTGCAGACTGGAAAATTCAGCAAACCTGCTTGGAGAAATTATGATAACGTTTTAAAACAGGCAACTTGTACAGTTGTGTGGATTTCCCTAATCTCCTGTACATACTTGAAGAAACATCAGAACATTAGCTGAGTTATTGATCAAAGTGTTGAAAAATCCAATGTAATATATCAGCTAATAAAAAAAACCACGGTACAAAGACTTCATACAGAGACCCACAGAGCATGACATAACCAAGAAATGAAGAAAGCTGTTTTACAGTCACAGCATAAGGGATGTAAGCACATAGCTAAAAGATGGTATTTAGGACCAAAGTCTGAAGCACCACACACACTAATATGACTCCACCTGCAAGGTCCCACATACATTTGAGAGTCACACATCTTCTTTCCTTTGCCTCCTAAACTCTGAAGGAGATGGTTTCTGACAATCACTTAGCAAACAGAGGCACCCTATGTCATCTCCAGGTTCACTATGCAACTTGCTTTGGCACTTCTAAATTTGCAAAATACCCAATTTCTATTCTACATTGCCTAGGGGCTGAAAAATCAAGCAGAAGCAGTTTTAAGGGAAAACAGATTTTGCCACTCCAACAGGAGCTGGGAGATGATAAAAAAAAAAAACAAAAACCTGAAAGGAGACTGAAGAGATTACCTAAATCCATCATCCTGTCCCAAAACAGCAGAAGTATGCCCTTTCTGTTTGCTTTCCGGTGGTAGAGATTCCCAAAACTCTCAAGGTAACCTATTGCAGTCCACAGATTACATCAAAGTCAGTGGATAACGCATAAGGAAAGTAAGCCTCTTATGTTAAAATTTGCGTTGGTACAGACCTCTGCTGGAAAGTTTATAGGGTGCACTAAAGATAAAAAGTTTTCCCCATTTCTTTAGTTTGTTTGTTCTTTTTCACAGATAAAATAGAACCTGTGCATTTTTGCACGAGGAAATTTTAATACTTCTAATTTTTAAAAATTAAATTTAGAAAACACCATACAATCCATTGTACAGAACACAATCTCTCAATTGTGTTCTACATAATATCGTAACTTAACCTAGAATATAATAAAAGGGAACAGTAGATATTCTCCTAATTATTTAAAAATAAGTGTAATTTAAGACATTTAGTTTTATGCCGCATGAATTCAATTCATTTTCATCTCAGAGACCATATCCTAACAGACAGGTGTTGTGTAGATGTTTCTTCTATTAAAAAAACCCCACATAATAATTGTAGTATTTTAGAAAGGTAATAAGTAATGCATCCTTGAAATTTTAATGTATAACTACAGAAATGCAAGCCATTATGCAAGCCACTTGACATCCCTGGATAACTGTTCAATAATTAGCATTTAGAACCATTAGCAATATTAAGAAGGAAACAAAATTCTAAGTGAAAAAGAGACAGATCACAATTACAGATCATAAAAAAAGAGTAGGTGTGGCTTGACTAACTGCAAGGGATCACATATTTCAGTTTTCTAAGGACTTCAGCTTGGGAAAACTGTAGATTGTCAGAGAGAGAGAGAGCTAAAGCAGGCATATCCTTCAGAAAGAGTTTGACTTCAGTAGAAGCAAACTCACCTCCACAACTCCAAGTTTCCAGAGGAAATCACATGAAGAAAAAACCAACAACAACAACAAACAACTGGTGACAAGCTAAAATTTTGATAAGATGTTGGGGATTGCTGAGTGGTTTACAGCTCTAGTAGTATTTCTCCTGATTTTGCAGTTCTTAAAGCTGCAATGGATGCGTACCCAGCTTCCTCCAGGTCCAGTTCCCCTCCCCATCATCGGAAATTTGTGGCTGCTGGACTTCAAACTTCGTCGAGAAACTCTCATTAAGGTATTTATCTCTACAGTTGAAAATCAGTCTGAATCTATTTTAACTTAAACTGTACATTGCATAGGAATAGTACAAATTCGCAATTATTCTTTTTTAATCCTCAAGCTTGATTATCAGCCAATTTCAAAGAATCTAAGTACCTTGCATTATTAAAAATATTTCTGAGCAATAAACACCATCATTGCTTTGCTCCTTGTTATTTTCTCTCTTTTGGTTACAGCAACATCCATGTATAACATTATCCTAGGCACTGTCAATAGCATGACATTCCATTGCCAGTTTCATTCTCTATTTCTGTGTCGATATCAAGTCCTGTAAACCACCTCTAGCAGAACTTCCTCTGCCTGATACCAGTGCCACTGGAACATCTCCAGGCCATGAGTGGTCCCATCTCCATTAGAAGACCAAACCTATTCTCCAAACTAACTATTTTTTTTCTTGTTTGAACAGCAAGAAGATTTATTTTCTGCAGTAAACAGATTATTACTAGAACAAAGTCGGAATGTTTGTTTGCTGTTATGTTCACAGCATGATTCCTTTATAAACCAGTTTATTTTAAAAACTAAGGAACTTGCTTCAAACTATTTTAAGGAAAAATACAAGCATGATCTGAGGAAAGACAATAGAGAAAAATAAGAAAAATCACACGGAATTTGATGTTGGCAACTGACTTGAGTTACAACTACAGAAACCCCGTAAATTTAGTATTTAAGTGCATGCATTCCCTAGTTTACATTTATTAATTTACTGTTATTAATTCTTCAGTTAACCAACATCTATGGAAATATCTACACACTGTGGATGGGACAGACACCTCTGGTTGTACTAAACGGGTACAAAGCAGTAAAAGATGGCATCGTCACCCACGCAGAGGAAGTTTCTGGAAGACCTCTCACCCCATTCTACAGGGATATGATGGGTGAGAAAGGTACAGGATGTTACACAATACTGACATATGAACCAAATGTAAAGAAAGACGTTTTTCTATATATACACACACATACATGAGTTACTGCTATACAAGCACATAACCGGGCTTACGTAACAAAAAGATGCCATGCAGAGCTAGCATATTAAGAAAAGGCAAACCCCCAAATTTCTCCTCATATAAAGCACACTACTGTCTTTTTCTTCCCAATAGATTAAAAGAAATGTATGCCTGGAGGAGCTGCCCTTCAGCTGCATCACTTCTAAAACAGAAGACATCTATAGACAAAGCTGCTCTGGCCTTACCAAACCCCACTAGCACTCATTTCCAGGGTCACCTTTGTAAGCAGCTGTATAGCTGGGAGCCACAAAAACCTACGTTAGGTTTTTTCTTCGCTAGTGAAATAACCTAATCTAAATCTCATTTTGCCTCCTACAGTGAAAGGATTTCCCTTCCCAGGATATAATGTTTCTGTGTTCTTCAGGGATTTTTCTGACAAGTGGACACACCTGGAAGCAACAGAGACGCTTTGGGATGACAATTATAAGAAGCCTGACACTTGGTAAGAACAAACTGGAGCATCAGATTCAAGTAGAGGCCTGTCATCTTGTGGACACCTTTGCAAGCACAAAAGGTACATTCGCTAAAAGAATAAAACTTAGAGCTTTTTCTGAAATATAGTAGATTAGGGAAGTTTCTTAACACATTTTTACAAGCAATATAGATATTTTTCATATTAGTGGAACTTTCACTGTCTTAATTGCATTCTTCACAAAAAGATGTTTTGTCTGCACAGTGGGCAATATAAAATTGTTTTTTGAAATAAGGATAGAAAAAAAATGTTTATTATCAACACAGTCTTGGGGACAGCTGGTAACAATTCTTACATTCAAGTATAGAAAAACCCCGTGTTCTTCTCCATAAAATATACAATTTGTGACCTGCTGCAAGTCGTTCTAGGACAGCAGACCTTTAGGATTTGGCAGAGAAAGAACACCAACACAAGGAACATATCATTCAGTTGTCCAACAAAACTGGTTTTTAAGGTTTGGATGAAATAGAAACCAATAGAATTTTAGCAAGATGCCAAAATAAAGCATTTAAATATAAATATTCTAAACAGCCAAACCCCTCACCCACATTGTGTTCCATACTGATATGAAAACAAAAAGAAGTTGCTGAGGTCTCTCTCCAACTCTCCTCGCACTAGACAGCAAAACGGCCCATCTCTCTTGTGACACCAACATCTTCACAGATCTGTAAAATGCAAGAGATGAACAAACTGTCGACTCCGACTCCCTGTACAGACTAAATCTTTACCTTCCGTGCAATCCGTCCTCAATTTTAAACTCCGTAATTGTATTCACTCTTTCCAAGAAAGACTACAAATACTGGGCTGAAGTCAGAGAGGTGCAATCCATCTTTTTCCATAGTAGTATAGTTCAAAGGTTGTCCTTGCCACTGAAATGTGTTCTTAGTTTTTTCTGGATCTGTCCTCCAGTTGATTTAACTCTTTTTAGGGGGAGCTGTTCTCCCATCCTGTAAAATAAACATTATGGGAGTTTTGCCTTTTCAGTCTGCGGAAAAAGAATTAAATAAAAAAAAAATTGTAAAGATGTACTTGAAAAACAAAAGGAGACAAGTAATTTCAACATGACTAAGAAATTGAAACTTCAAGATTTTTTTTTCCTAGTTTGGGGAAGGGGGGAGTTTATTTTTGGTTTTAATTGCCAAATTTAAAATATCTGCCTCCAGATTTGAAGGCATATGTTCTAATGAACTGCTTGTGTTTTCACACAACCCAGACCACAATTCAGAGAGGGGAAGAGACCTAATATTATAATATCGAAACCACTAATCATGGCATTTATGAGTAAAAAGCAGATTGAATATAAAGATTCCATGCACTTATAATTCACAGTTAATTTGTATTAAACTAGAGCTTACTTGCATGAAATTTATCTAGAAGTAGTCTGATATTCCACACTCTGAACTACTAGTACACTTACTGTTTAAAAAGAAAAAAAAGACTTCCACTTCCTTCATTTTTCTCACTGCATTCTATTCAGAAATATTCACTGGTACCTCCTATGTTCACAGGCAAACCTTTCGACCCCCACACTTTCATTGTCCATGCAATCGCAAATATAATTTGTGCTGTTGTTTTTGGTCACCGCTTCTCCAGCGACGATGAATCTTTCAGCAAACTTATCAAAGCTGTTTATTTTGTGATCCACTTTCAAGCTACTATCTGGGGCAGGGTAAGAATCTAATTTTCTTGTTCTTGTTCCTTGAAGTGCATTTGTGCCTCACAAATTAAAACAAACAAATTAGAAGTCAGTGACTATTATTCCCAAACATTTCCATACCATTACTCTGTGAGCCATTGTGCTGTAAGAAATACATACTGTGTGTACCTCATTACTGCCTTTTATTCTTTACATCAGTAAATAGTACGTCCTAAAATTTACATTCTAGATGATTACTATTTCCAAAATATATATTTTATTTCATTTGCAGAGTACTGCATGCACAAGACTCTGAACTCTTAAAATGAAAGCAACTTTTAAAAATTTTTCATTTAGTCTTCAGAATACAGAAGTACAACTAATGAGAACTCAGCCTTAAAAGTCCTATTCTTTTGAGAAGATTATCTTGCATTTGATGTTGTTTATATTACCACCAAGATCTGAGTTATTCTGAGCCTCCTATAAGATACAGATGACAATTTCATCACATCAAGAAGAATATTTTTAAGTTCTTGAAAGTCTAACTGTTGCTTATATTGTGAAGATTTTGGCACACTGGCATTCTATAACACTACCAGGTTCCCCAACACCTTCATACAGAGATGCTTTAGAAAAAAATCAGAGTAAGAATCAAGGTGTAGAAAAATCTCCTGCTTGTGAGCCAGATTCAGCCCTCAGTTACTCCGATTCACCCATTTTCAGAGACCCTGTTGCTTTATTAGGTACGCATCAAAAAAGTAAAATGTGATCGTTCTCCTGTGACCCGATACCACTCAGTACATGATCTTGACATTTTGGTCATCTGACAGGGAAGGAGAAGTCTGCACTAGCCAACAGATTCCAAACCGCAGGCCATAAATAAAACAAAATCTCTGTCAGTAGCCCTAGAGACTGAAGTCCATTCACTAAACATACACAGTACAAAGAAATGGAAAAAAATATTTTTCCCTCAACAAATACCCATGCCAGTTTCTCCCAGAGGAAAGCTTCCTAAGGTTGAGAGGTCATCAGCTTTCACACCTCTCAGTCTTCAACTCCTCTGTTAAGCATCGAAAGTGTGATTATTGAATACTGACCTTCAACATGATCAGTATAATTTAAACTGCTCCGTATTACTAATAGCTCATTAACAAATTTCAGACAAGTTTTCCTTAATGCCAGTTCACTTAGAGGGCAATGTAAAGGTTTCATAAACACTCTTAGAGATACAGAATAATTTACAATGGAGGGGACCCCTGCATGTCAGGTAATCCAGCTCCATGCTCAAAGCAGACCTAATTAGATCAGGTTGCTTAGGGACTTGTCTAGTCAAGTCTTCAAGACTCCAAGGATAGAGATTTCACACAGACTCTCTGGGAAACCTGTTCCCAGTATTTAATCTCTCTCCTGGTAAAAAATAAAACAATTTAAAAAAAAAAAAAAAAGTAAAAAAAGTTAAAACCCACAAACAAAAAAACACCACCACAAAAAAAGTTAATAAATAATATTTTCTTACACCTAATCAGAATTTCCCATGCTTTGACTTGTGTCTATCGCCTCTCACCCTAAATAGGAGCCCACGTGTTGCAGTGACTTCACAGAGTTATCAGGAAATCAGAACTGGGTTCTCAATTTAAGAGCTCACATTTCTTCCTTTTTGTTTAAAATCACAGATGTATGATGCTTTCCCACGGCTTATGCGCCGTCTCCCAGGACCCCATCAGAAAGTGTTTGCATACAATGAGTTCATGCACAATTTAGTTATGAATGAGGTTCAGACTCATGAGAGACAGAACTCAGGTGATCCACAGGATCTCATTGACTTCTACCTAGCTCAGATAACAAAAGTAAGTATCTGTTTATCACACCATCCCCTCCTTGGCATGCTTGTTGTTCAAGTAACTGCTACGGAATTGTTATATGTATACTTTATTTGTTTAGCTCTGAAGATTTTTGTTTTGGTGGGCTGCTCACTGTTTTTATCAAACAGTGACAATTTCTATATGGCCAATGAAATGTCTGAAATTATCCACTTCATAGTCTTCTTGTGAATGTACTCTACAGACCAAAGGTGACCCTACTTCTACATTTAATAAAGACAATATGGTTCAGACTGCGGTTGATCTTCTGCTGGGAGGGACAGAAACAACAAGTACCACCCTTCTCTGGGCACTGCTCTATATGGTACAATACCCAGAAATACAAGGTGAGTCAAAGCATTATCAGACAGAACTGCATTCAACATCACATCACAATGAACATCATTAAAGTATTAGCTTGATTACTTGCAGTACATCAAAATAACCCTTAACAATGAATATGAATGGTGGCATACCAACAACTGAGATCTAGAAAATGAAATTTTAATAAATGAAACAAACTTGTGCTTTCCCCACCAGTTCATAAGAAGCAACACTAGCAGAAATTAGTAGTAGCCACTGTTTTATCTCACTAGAAGGGGATGGCAAAGGCAGAATAACAAGCTAAAGACATTTCATATGCAACCTAATCTCTTCCTAAGCTTCAATGTGGAAAAGCTGTAAAAAGATACCTGATCTGATGTGTATTTATAACAGAAATTATGCCTGTAATTTCAAATCTTAATCATTTTTTTGAAATATAGAACTGTATTACCCTCATCAGAAAGTGGGATGTGTCTTAAATGAGAGATAATCTTGTGCTTTGGGAATATGCACTTCTTTGATCAACTGAAAGCAACACAGCAGGCAAACCATGTGCCAACACATTTCATAGCAACATAATTCCATTTCCCCCCCCCAGTCCTGGATCATACTCGTACAGAAATCTGCTGGAAGGCGAAAAAGTTTAAAGTATGTCCATTTCTCTACAGAAAATGTTCAAAGAGAGATAGAGGCTGTTCTGGAACCCTCCCATCTCATCAGCTATGAAGATCGTAAAAAACTGCCATATACAAATGCTGTGATCCATGAGGCTTTGAGGTTCAGCAATGTTACTTCTGTTGGGGTCCCTCGACAATGTGTGAAGAATACAACTTTGCTGGGGTTTCACATTAAAAAGGTACAGAGTATACCTCCACGTTTCTTAAAGCTTAGAGCTATTAATATTTACTATTTATACAACATTAGCCTCTACAAGCCCTAACTTTGCATAGAGAGCATGTTGCAGCACGCCACAGACATGAAACAAAACTGAGTGCTCTGAACCTGGAATAAGTCTACATTAGCAGATGCAAAAGAAAGCTTGGGAAAAAGCCAACAGCACAAGTAGCAAACAAACATAAGGAAAACTGAAGTCTTTCTTCCCACCACTCAAATATGAATGATGTCTGGGAATCAAAGCAGAACATGTGTTTTAAGGAACAATGAAGAAATGAGGCTTAATGAATGTCAAGCCAGCTAACTCACACATAAGTGAGCAGCCTGGAGCAACCTATAGTCATCTCTGACAAAACAAACATACACACACACAAACACCACGTGCTTAAAATGACAGCAGCTCAGTACAACAGACTGGAATGGAGTGAGAGATCCAACAGTCCTGATGCTATGATATAAATGTCCCGACTATATTAAGCATAAAATTGATGCGATAGAATTGAAAGTTCCACTAAAGAGTACAAAAACCAAAAAGAAAGGTGTTATGATTAGTCTAGCAAGTACATAAAACAATCCAAGCTCCACTCCAGCTTAGGCACGAAGACACTTCTGTAGTCCTGACAGAAGATATCTTAAACAAAAGCAAACATGTAAAATGGCATGAAAAACAGAAGATACAAGGGTTTGTTATGCCTGGATGTGCACAGGAAAAGACAGAGTTGAATCCAAACACTGGGCTGCAGGCATAGGGCAGCATATTATCTATTAGAGAGAAGGAATGTTCAAAATCAATCACACATGGAAAATATCATCTCTGCTTCTTCTTGCAGGGCACACTTGTATTGCCAAATCTGCACTCTGTTGTGTATGACTCTGAGCACTGGGCAACCCCTTGGAAGTTCAACCCTAATCATTTTCTTGATTTGGATGGCAACTTTGTGAACAAAGAGGCATTCTTACCTTTCTCAGCAGGTAATGCACCTGATGTTTGAATATTCCTGTTCACTGTGTCTTGCAACAAGACTAAAAACACCATTCCTAAATTCTAAAATTTTAAAAACATACTTTTATAAAAGCATATTTGACACAAAGATTTAAAGTCAGATGTTCTACTCTTAAGAGGCACAAATACTGTCTTGCATTTTGTATTTTTTATACATTCAAACAGAGGATGAGTATGGCTAAGAGACATCATGCTATCTCCTTGGTATATGTATAGTTCCGACTATAAGGGTATCTGAGCTACTTAGTCCCTAATGTATTAAATCCTGATAACACCCTCAAATCAGAAAATCAATTTATTTTCACCTAACAAACAGGGAACCCAAAGACAAAAGTAATAGGATTTGTCACAATATACAGAGAAAATCTGTGATAAAGCAGGAAACCAAACCTCAGTCTTCCAAATCCTACAGTAATAATTTAGCACCAGGTTCTCTTGTATATCCAGAAAACTAGCAGAATCCAGCCTTTTCAGTAGAATATTATTAGGCAACCAAAAAAAATTTCTAACTTTTCAAAAGCATATTATGATGTGTAATTTACGATGCAAAATGCAGCAATACAAAGACATAGGAGAGTAAAAAAAAAGAAGTGAAAACACTGGGAAACAGCTGAGAGTTTTTATGTTACTGTGACAGATTATACTATTATACATTTGCTGTAAACAAAAAGCAAATAGTATGCTAAGTAATGTACAAAGCAGTCAGATTAAGCATAGTAAATCCAGATTTTAAAATCATGTGCCCAAATCATCTATAAATCCTATAATTGTATTTGCAAACCAGCTACTCAGTATCTTACCTCCTTTACTCACCAAATGTCCACTAGTTTGCATGAATTGAAACGACTAATTGAGGCTAACATTTCAGTCCAGCACAGGAAATTTTCTTTTTTAACTTGAATTGGTTGTTTCCTGTTTGAATAATCTGAGTATTTATATATCCTTTATTTATTTTTTTTAAGTCTGAAATAAATAGATAGATAGATAGATAGATAGATAGATAGATAGATAGATATCCTGAAATATACTGTGAAAACAATATGCCAAAATGAGTCACATGCCTACGTTTCCTTCTCTTAGTTTATATATCTGGTCCTGGACAGTGTTAGAGGATATTGGGCTACAAGGACCCAATACAGCCACTTTAATTTCTGTTGAAGAAAGCCTGATTACATCCTTCATCTTAACTTCAGAATTGCATCCTGCAGTGCTCCAGTCCTCTCTCCTCAACAACCAAAGATAAGACCCTGAAGTATATGAAGCTTTTTAAAATCTGGCTTAACTAAAAAGCAGTTTATGGTTCTCACAGAAGCAAAACTGAAAAGGGAGAATCTCATACGTGCTCCAGGGGGGGAAAAAACCAAAGCAAACCCAAAGCAAAAAAACAAACCAAACAAAACCCCCAGTTGACATCAAGATGTAGTTTCTCGGTTAAAGAAATGCTCCCCTACTTCTAAAGGCATCCTTTATCCTTACAGAAGGAAAATGAAATAATTAACTTACATTAATAGAATTTATGGTACTCAGCAGAATTTTGTTTGAAGCTTTTTTAGACCTTAGCTTGATACAACTAACTTTTTTTCTCCTTTCTCCTGTAGGGCACCGTGTATGTCTGGGGGAACAGATGGCACGAGTTGAACTGTTCATCTTCTTTACCAACCTGCTTCGGGCATTCACATTCCAGCTCCCTGAGGGAGTAAAGGAAATCAGTTTGGAGTACATTTTGGGTGCAATACTGCAGCCACATCCATATAAACTCTGTGCTATTCCATGCTAATCTGTGACATACTACAGCACAGAGGGACTTCAACATAATTGCAGATATTTTAAAAGCATGTACAACAATCTCATATACAATCTCAACTGTATTCAAATGTAGGTAGCTCAATATAGCAAATTATTACAGAGAATTTTTAGTTAGGAGGCCTGACCTCATATAGTTGAACTTTTGGAAATTAAAGCAGATGTACTTGCCAAAGCTCATATAAATGTATCTTAGGCACATACAAGCACACAATGTTACTCAAAAATATGTATTTTCACACTCACGGTAGCAATGAATTAGATGTAGGATTTGAGAAGTGATCTGTATCAAGCAGAGTTTCCTCTTAAATGGTACAACTGCTCTGATATGGCAAGGATGCCTGAATAAAAAAAAAAAAAAAAAAATGCTGTTACTGCTCTGTGTTCACAGAAGGGCTTTTCTTACATCCTTTTGCAGAAGGGAACAGAGCATGCAGAGTATGCACACCTAGTGTTGACTCCTTTTCCTTTCACACTCCCTTGAAGCACACATGCATAAATGACTGCAGAATGGGGCCTCTTATAATCATAGTCCATTTAAAAATCCTTATACCTTTTTTCTTTACTCTCTCAGTATCTGTTTACTATTCTACCACAAGTCAGATCCAGATGCTTTCATGAACTTTTCCATCTTCTGTTTAGAAACGCTATTATATCCTCCAATAACTTCCTATTTGAAGAGAAAGAAACAGCCTTTCAAGAAATGAAGATGCCAACATTTGTTAAAGCAGGCACAATAAAAATTTATTACTCACAGTATTTTCTTTTGTTGTCTCGTCATCCACAGCAGACGTGGAAAGTTTTGACCACTTAAAATTCAGCTGCAAGTATCCTAGATGCTTTGAATTTTCAAAGTTCAACAGGAGCAAGCATAAATTATGCCAACATGTAGTTAAAAGCAGAAGTAGAATATTACATATTTCTCAGACATAAAACTAATGGAAGACTTTACTCTCCTCTCAAATATTTCCAATTATTCCTTCCATTTGGTGAAAACCCCAGGGCTCTAACACACTGTAAAGTTTGCCATTGCAGAACAAATGCAGACTTGACATCATTGACAGTTTTCACCTTTTTAATAAAAGACATCATAAAACTTTCAATGTTACTCCATTTTTATTGAGGAAAATATAACATCTAAAAAAATCCCCCTTGAATAAGAAATACTTTCAAACATAAATTAAGAAAATTCTCTTAAACTCTGTATTTCTTACAGTGAGGGCAAATCTTGCATAAAACACATTCTTACAGATTTACAAAAGCAGTCTGATGTGATAGTTCAAAAGTTTTCAAGTCTTTATCTTTTTCCTTTGTGGTGTTCATTAAAGAAAAACTCACCAAAAAAATCCTTCTTTTCAACCCACCATTTTCATGGTTCAGTAAAGGGCCCATAATAAAGTGCTCAGCAGCATAACTGGCAGTGTAAGATACAAGCTTGGACTTTCTCTACTCCAGTGTATTTTGATGGCTCTTGAGGTATGTTCTACCTGAAAAAAAGACTCCAGTTTCTTTCCTCTGTGTTTACCCCTTTGGTCTCCTGAAGTTATTCTGTAAGCTTGATTTTTTTTTTTCCCCAAAAAATACTATTTCATTATGCACATATGTTTTCTGGTTTTCTTCCAGAACTGTAGCTTGGGTTAAAACATGCACATATTTTTCACCTGTATTTTTGAAGAACTGAGGTACATTATGATTTGCTGTACAATGCTGGTTCTAAAAAACACAGGAAGAGAGTGTACATGATTAAGGAGGTATTTTTACAAAGAAGTTGCTGTAGGCCTGACAGTTGGTACCAGTGAAAAACAGCTGGGCTAAGAGTATCTTCTTTTTATTCCATTTCAAACAGCAAGAGGTGACGCATTCCTCAGTTTTCCGATGTCTCTCGAAATGACAGTGTGAGAATTCTAGACTACCTTTTCATCACAGTTGTAAATGAAATCTGTAAGAAAATGAACAATGCAGAGAAAAAAAGCTATTTCATGAGGTAACTTTTTTGTCAAGAAAGAGAGAAAAATTCGTAAGGAATTAAATCAGAAAAAAGAAAGATTTAGAAATTAAGGACAAAATGCAAGCTTTTCTTGTGAAACTTCTTTTTAAAAAATGTTATAAATCCCATCATTTCAGTAACTAGAAAACAGACAGACAAACTTCTAGAAAAATACACTGACATGCAGCTCTAGTGTGATGCACCCCTTTGAAATCAACAGCCCAACTTCTCAGCAAGGCAGACTGCCTAGATCCTTCAGGGGTTAAATCCCCGAGAGCACCAAGTGATTTAAAGTCCAGTCTTTAGAAAAGTCTACGCTACTGAAGATCAGATTCAAACATTAATTTTGGCCACTGATAAAAAAAACTATAACTGCCATTTCCAAATTCTTCAAGTCTTCAAGTAGTTAAGAATCTAAACTGTTCCCTTGATGTCAGGGAACGCCCTTTGCCCAAGTCCAACTGTTTTAATCAAATAATATAAAAAACATATTTGTGAATATATTCCTTCTGTAATAATGGCCTTGAAATGTTTTGTTTCCAAAACAACAGCAATAAAGGACTTCACTACATACTCCAGCTCCTAAATATTAAAATAACAAGCACCATGAAGAAAGTACATACATGTCTTTGCCCACTTCTGTGAAGCACACAAAATCCATACTGTTTGTGTAGTTGTAAGGACAAAATGTAATCACTGGTCAACACGACTTAGATTAAGAAAATTACTAAACCAGTTCTAATCTTGGATGAAGAGTTTTTCCTAAAATCTTTGTTTTATTTTTATTAAAACCTCAAAGGGAAAAAGCCGAGTGTATCAGTAGTCTTGTTCTCACCTAATAAGCAGAGTACTATCAAGTGCATGCTTTGATCCACCAACCAAATTTGGTATCTTTAAACAGTTTTTCAAAATAATACACTCAAAGTTCTCCTCTCCACCCAGTAAAAATACCGTATCTGGTAATCAGCATTCACATCCAACCTTTCAGTATTATATGCATATCTAATCAAGCAAAACACAACACCAAAATATCAAATAGGTGGCATTAACTTGATCAGAATGGCTTGCACATCAAGGATTATAATGCTAGGATGGGCTGGTTATAAGGAAACAAATGAAAAACTGAAACACTAGTGTGGAGAAAAGCTAATTTTGGATTGCCTGTTTGATTTTCTTCTCTTTTTGCTGTGTTTTCTTAAGTCTTTACAACATTACAATAGTATTAGAATTTCTAAATCACAATACATAGGATCCCAAACTAATATCAAAGCCAATCAGATTGGGGAAAGATACAATATATAATTAAAGCTAGCAGATTTATGGTGACAGCAGAATGAATAGATCAAAATATATCCAAATGCATAAACAGTGTTTACACTCTCAAAGCAAATGTAAAAATCAAGTACACTAATAGTCCAATTTGTCAGACATGACAGCAGAGTTAAGTACTGGGGAATGACTTGAGGAGTAAATAATAGCTTTATATAATAGTCAGAGAAGCTTCCATATATCTGAGTGGTGTGAACAGACACATTTTGTTAACTGCTAACAACTGCTACTTTTCTGGCCGAAAAACAAAACCCCAAAGATGAACTGCTTTACCGATTATCAGTTTGCAGCAAGTAAATGAGAACATTCAAAGTCCAGTCCACTACCACATTACTCTCAACATTAGTTAATACATAAGCCTCGGTGATGCCTCTGCAACACCTCTAGAACAACTGAAATTAAAAATGTATCACTCACTTCTTGCAATACTTGTCCAAGTGTCTCCCGGCTGTGAATGCGCTTCCTGTTAAAAATCAAAACCATACTTATTTCTGCACAAAGCACCAGTGGGATCTTGTAAACAGCAACCATTTATTCCACTTCAAAGGGAGAAAATTGTTATGCTAGGCTTTGTTCCACATCCCTTCCCTTATGAAATCTTGATGTATTTTTATGGAATCTTACTGCAATCTTATGGAATCTACAAACTTTATTTCAGACCTCGTATTATTTACATCAGGAGGAACTACCTGGAATAAGGCCTGCTAATCACTGCATTTTCCCCAAAACAACCCTGTTTATTGAAAAACTTAGCTAAATTTCAGCATAATTCCTAATATCCAGCTATAACTGATAAATAGTTGCTTCAGTGACATCATTTCCAGTACTACACATCGGTTATTCAGCAACTGATGCAAGAATATTAACAAATATTTATTTTTTTAAGTCATTCTTCCAATATAATCAAAGTGGTAAACAGTGCTTGCAAACACAAGAGCAATGTAAAGACTTAAAAAAAAAAAAATCTATTAAAAGCGAGAACATGTTACCAGTCATTGTTTCCAAACATCCTGTAATACATGCACTGAGAATACTAGAAATGCAAATAGAAGGCAAGATATTTTTACCTGTCTATTTTGGTTGCTATGACCACTGTAAAACTGCCTTCTGTATTGGGCAAGTACGTAGAAGGTATAATGACATAACTTCCTGCAGGGAGCCTGCAAAGTTGGCTTACTTCCTGTGAATAGCAGTGAGGCACGCAGCTAACCAGGGGCTCCAAGTGTAGAAAAGAGGAAGTATTATGTGGTTTCCAGCCGCTGTTAGGCACCTGCAAAAAAGAATGAAAACATGTCTATCTTTCTGATATATTTCAGGCCTCAACAATGTTAAATTCCAAGTATACCGTAGTATGGTATGGTCTCTATCTATTCCACTACAAATACTCATTCTTCTGTACAGAGCTAGAGAAGAGGATGAGAAGGCTTCCAGAAATCCCAGATGGCAGTATTAAGTACAGATACATCATTCCTAGCATGTCTGTAGCCAATTAATACAACCCGCTACCCCCACAGCTCAGAAGCTTTTTCTATTGTCTAACCTCACTCTTTCTCACTGCAGCCTATTGTCCTCGGTTTTCACCTCATGGATATGGTGAACAGACTGTCTCCTTCCTCTCTGTAGTTGTCTTTGATATACTAACAATTCATACTAGATAGACTATAGGCATGAAAACGCCATTCTTGTCATCTTTTCTCACATAGTATATATTTGAAGCTATATGATCACTCCTAATATGTTCAACTTCAAACTCCACTTAAGCAACACCTTTTCTGAAGCACTTTTTCCAAAAATAAAGCTATTTTCTCCCTGAAAAATAGCCACCTAACCAGAAGCTTTGCATCCTACATTTATGCAGTTATCACTGGCACATACAGGTAGAACCTGTATTTGTCCATATCAAATCATATCCTATTTCAGAACATCTGCTTAATATATCACATTCCTTTTGATTTCTGATCTTCTCTGCAGATCCAGCATCACTTGCCAATGATCAGATAATTATTAGAGATGCAGAAAGTAAGTTTTCATGATGACTTATCAAAAAGCCTGGCTTTCAGTCACTAAGACACTAAGAATTCTTTGCAAATCCTCAAAAGAGTTCATCATTTCTAAAACGAATTGAGAAGGTGGGAAGGATTCAGTGGAACCAATTATCTGGTTACTAGGCTATGTAATGATGTAGTTATTCGGTATCTTTCACAGGCATTACTTCCTAGGATCAGCTTGGTTTCTCCTAGAAGCAGCATGTCCCTCGCCAAGTGGAAGGAGCACTGAACCGACAGGCCTACCTGCACACTTGGCAAATGAGCAAAGGGATCAGAAGAAGTCTTACCTGGAAAATATGGAAACCTATTGGACGACACTTGCTATCTTGGCAGTGCTGGCGGAGAGTAACTTTCACACTGCTTTTTCCTGGTCCTGCAGGAATGGAGAGGGGAAAGCAGGGATTGATATGGAAGGAGGGGAAGTTCCTGCTACCTCCAGCACTTTGCCCATTTTTCCAGCATCCATGCAGCTGCACTGTCTCCCATTCACCCGCGGGGAGTTCTTCACAGAGGGCAGCATCTGTGGGCGGTGGCTTTAGCTCACTGTCAAACATAAGAGAGAAAAGAAACTAAAATGTATTAAACCTGTATGATTTCACAAAATCTAGAACACC